AGCGAGGCCTGGCAGTCAGGGCCCCCCAGACCCTGAGTCCCGCTGCGTCCCCGGGTCCGCTCAGGTCCTAGGGCTGCGCTGGCAGCCGCCTGTCTGTTCTGTGCCCGGCTTTTATTGCTGCTGTGCGGTCGTCTGCTGTGCGGTCGTCTGACATTCCTAGCCAGCTCGCTCTTATGCTTACAAGCGCAGCATACCGCTGTTCCTGGGCACTTTGCTGGGATTTTCGTACTCGGATGTGGGCGGAGAAATGGTCCTGGCTTGATTTCTGGTTAAATAGCATTCAGCACGGGGTGCTGCACTCATTAGGCCCTGAGTGTGTGTGTAAGGAGTGGACCAAGCCTAAGAAATTTAGACCTCATCAAATTCCCCTGATAGGATGGAAAATTTTGAAAAAAATATGAATAGATACTTAGTGAATGCTTACATTGAACCAGATGCTTCGCTTCACGGAACATTTTAATCTTCAAATAATAGGAGGGAGGCTGGGGATGTAGCCCAGTTAAGAGGGTGCTCTCCTAGCCTGTAAATCCTAAATTCAGTTCCCGAACTGGTGGTGGTACTTCCCTGTAATTTCAAAATAAGGAAGTGGAGGTGGGAAGATCAGAAGTGTAGGTTCATTTTCAGCTACATAGCGCCAGCCAGGACCTGGACGGAAAAAAAAAAAAAAAAATGGAGCCGGGCGTGGTGGCGCATGCCTTTTATCCCAGTACTTGGGAGGCAAAGGCAGGCGGATCTCTCTCGAGTTCGAGGCCAGCCTGGTCTACATAGTGAGTTCCAGAACAGCGGGGGCTACATCTCAAAAAGACAAAAAAAAAAAAAAAAGTAATTCGAAGTCTAGAGTCCAAAAATTAAGTAACTTGGCTGAAGTCACACAGCTCTTGTTCCAAATGTTTGAATTTAATTTGGTGAATGATTGACTTACACAGAACTAAAGTTGGGGGCTGGAGAGATGCTCAGTGGTTAAGACTGCTCTTGCAGAGGACCCGCATGACAGCTACGAATCATCCTTAACTCCAGTTACAGAGGAATCCGAAGCCCTCTTCTGACCTCAGAGGCACTGGAAGACACGGGTGCACTCACATACATGCAGGCAACACACTCATACACGTTAAAAAAAAAAGTTGGCACATGTGCCGGTGCAGTGGTGCACTTCTTAATCCCGGCAGAGGCAGAAGCAGGAAGATCTCTGAGTTCCATGCCCGTCTGATCTACATACCAAGTTCAGGACAGCCATGGCTACATAAGTGAGACCCTGTCTCAAAAAAAAACCTCCCCAAATTTTTTTCCAAAAAAAAAAAAGAGGAAAAAAATGCCACCAGTCAGGAGTGATGACACACACTTTTACATCTCAGTGCTCAAGAGGCAGAGACAAGCAAGTATCTGAGTTCAAGGCCGACCTGGTCTACTGAAGTTCTAGAGCAGCCAGAGCTAGGCAGTAGGACTCTATTTCAAAACAAAACAAAAATCAAAAAATGAAAAATGGCTCAGTTCAGTGGTTCACACTTTTAATCCTAGCACTAGGGAGGTAGAGCCCAGGCACATTTTTTGGCCTAGGAAGTCTTGAATTTATGATTTCCCTGGCCTCAGCCTCTCAAGAAGCTTGGATTACAGAGCTGTAACACGAGACCTGGCTTTCCAGCCCTCCTTTAACTTTTTTTTTTTTTTTTTTTTTTTTTTCTTTTTTGGTCTTTTTGAGACAGGATCTCCCTGAAGCCCCAGGTTGCCTCCTTTAACTTTATATTTTGAATCACAGTCTCACTAAGTTATTCAGGCTAACCTTGAACACAGAGTGGCTCAGATAGGCCTTAAAACCTGAGAGCCTCCTGTCTCAGCTGAGTAGCTTTGATACAAGTTTATGGGCAGGATGGTGCTTGCCTTTAATACTAGTACTTGGGAAGCAGAGGCACTCAGATCTCTCTACACCAGCCTGGTCTACATAGTGAGTTTCCAGGTTAGGGCTACATAATGAGACCCTATATAAAGAAACAAAAAGGCGGGGCTGGAGAAGTGGCTCGGTGGTTAGGAGCACTGGTTGCTCTTGCAGAGGACCCAGGTTTGATTCCCAGCACCCACATGGCAGTTAACAACCATTTGTAACTCCAGTTCCAGGGGATCCGACGCCCTCTTTTGACCTTCGAGGGCACTGCGGGACGCAGGTGCACTTACCTACATGAAGGCAATACACGCATACACATAAAAATATATTTTTTAAAAAAGAAGAGGCTGGAGTGATGGCTCAGCACTAGCTGCTCTTGGCAGAGGACCCTAGTTTGTTCCCAGCACCCACATGACAGCTAACAATGGTCTGTAACTCTAGATCCAGAGGATCTGATGCCTTCTGACCTCCCTCTAGCATTGTATTTACATGTATGTAAGGTGCAGTTAGGTACAAGCAGGCAAAATGTACACATAAAGAGGGCTAGGGATATAGGTTATTTGTAGTATTTGTGTAGCATGCATGAACCCCTCCTATGCTCAGTCCTCAGTATTTAAAACAAACAAACAAACAAACAAACAAAAAAACCCAGGTGTGGTGCTGTAAGCCTTTAATCCCAGCATTTAGGAGGTAGAGGCAGGTGGATCTCTGTGAGTTTGAGGCCAGCCTAGTCTACACAGTGAGTTCCATGCCAGTTGGGGCTACAAGGAGACCCTGTCTCAAATAGACCAAAAAAAAAAAAAAAAAAAAAAGATGTGCAAATGAATTGACTACTGGTCCTAGGGAATGTTTCAATCACCTCTAAGCCAAATTGGCATTGCTGTTTTTTTAAAGGTTTATTTTTTACATGTGTGTTTGCCTGCATTATGTTTGTGCACCATGTGTGTGCCTGGTACACATGGAGGCCAGAAAAGGGTGTCAGATCCCCTGGAACTGGAGTTACAGTTGTGAGCTGCATATGGGTACTGGGACCTGAACCCGGTTTTCTACAAGAGCAACTAGTACTCTTAACTGCTGAGCCATCTCTCCAGTTCCATTCCCTGTTTGTTGTTGTTGTTGTTTTTAAATTTTATTTGTATTTTATGTGCATGAGTGTATTGCCTGGATGTATGTGAGTGCACCTGTGTCGTGCAATGCCACGGAGGTCAGAAGAGGGCATCAAGATTCCCCTGGAACTGGGATTAAGTGCTGCCATGTGGGTGCTGGGACTCGAACCCGGGTCCTCTGCAAGAGCAGTAAGTGCTCTTAACTGCTGAGCCATCTCTCCAGCCCCATTCCCTAGGTTTTTTTTTTTTTTGGTCTTTTTGAGACAGGGTCTCCCTGTAGTCCCAGCTGTCCTGGAACTCACTATGTAGACCAGGCTGGACTTGAACTCACAACTCACAGGGATCCACCTGCCTCTGTCTCCCAACTGCTGGGATTAAAGGCATGCACCACCTCGCCCGGCCTTCCATTCCCTAGTTTTTTATAACAGCCAAGACATCCCAGCTGACAGCCAGCCTACCTTCACAGATTTATGATAACCCCTTCCAGGGCCTAGTGTGGTATGCACACATGTAATCCTAGCACTGAGACAGGATGATTCTGAATTCAAAGCAAGCTTGAATTACATAAATACTAAGTGTCTAAAAAAACAAAAAAAGAAAAAAAGAAAAAAAAGAAAGAAAGGGAAGGAAGGACCAAAAAAGTGGGGAGGGGACAAAAAAGAAAAATAGGGAAAAAAAGAAGAAAACAAGAGTGACAATCCCCTTATCCAACAAATACATTTGATCATAAAATCAAAGCTGGGTGTGGTACTGGGTGTGGTGGCTCATGCAAGTAATCCCAGCACTCATAAAACTGAGGCAGGAGGATTGCTGCAAGTTCAAGACCAGGCTAGGTTATATAGTTCTAGTCCAGCTTGGGCTACAGTATATGAATGTCTCAAAAAACAAAGCAGTGACAAGAATCCAAAAATCTATGAGCCCAGCAAAAACCTAACAAACTAAATGCTTACTGTTTAAGCCCTGAGACATTTTGAGGTACAGTGTCAATCTTTAAGCCAATACTGATTTGGAGCTGGCCTGGAACTTATTCTGTAGACTAGGCTGTGCTGGAATCCACAGAGATGGGCCTGCCTCTGTCTCCCAAATGCCGGGATTAAAGGCATACATCCCTCCGACCCACCACCAGCAATACCCTTTAAAAAAATGCCCATGTATTACCCACTTTTTAATGATTTAATATCATTTCTATTCACTAGCTTCCAACAACCTAAAAGCCCTGTTAGCAAGTAACGTCTAAAATCTGTTAAGAGTCCATGCCTGTCCCCTGATTCAATTTGCTATAACCCACCTACTTGCTGTCTTCTCCAATGTATTTGTTAAATGCACTAATTTATGACCTTTGTTCTATGACTATAAAAATTCTAAAAATTTATGTAATAGGACTGGAGAAAGGGCTCAGTGGTTAAGAGCACTGCCTGTTCTTCCAGAGGACCTGGGTTTGGGTCTCAGCACCCATATAGCAGCTAAAAACTCTAACTCCAGTTCAAAGGATCTGAAACCATCTTCTGGCATTGCACAAACACTTACATGCAGGCAGAATACTTATATGCATAAAGTAAAAATAATTTTAAAAATTCATATAAACTACTTCCATGGTGGAACATCATTCAGAGCAACCTGAGTCCATGTTCCTGAGCCATGGTGTCATATTTGACTCAAAATAAAGCTGTTTGGGTTTTAACCAACACTCAAGTTTCTAAACCAGTTAGTTCCCTTCAAGAAACCGAAGAGAAGCCAGGTTTGGCCCATGCCTTTAATCCCAGGGAGATTAAACAGAGGCAAAGGCAGGTAGGTATCTGTGAGATTGAAGCCAACCTGGTCTACATAGCAAGTTCCAGGCCAGTTGGGGCTACAGGGAGATGCTGTCTCAAAAAAATTAAGGGGCTGGAGAGATGGCTCAGCAGTTAAAAGCACTGGCTGCTCTTGCAGAGGACCCAGGTTCGATTCCCAGCACCAACATGGTGGCTATGAACCATCCTTAACTCCAGTTCCAGGGGAATCTGAAGCCCTCTTCTGACCTCCATGGCATTGCACGACACGGGTGCACTCACACACATGCAGGCAATACACATAAAATACACATAAAATAAAAAATATTTATGTGTATGCGTGTATTGTGCATATGTAGGTAAGTGCACCCGTGTCATGCAGTGCCCACGGAGGGCAGAAGAGGCTGTCGGATCCCTTGGAACTGGAGTTACAGACAGTTGTTAGCTGCCATGTGGGTGCTGGGATTCGAACCCAGGTCTTCTGCAAGAACAGTCAGTGTTCTTAACCGCTGAGCCAGCTCTCTAGCCCCCAAAAATAAAATATTTTTTTTAATTAATTAAATTTAGCCGGGCGTGGTGGCGCACACCTGTAGTCCCAGCACTTGGGAGGCAGAGGCAGGCGGATCTCTGTGAGTTCAAAGACAGCCTGGGATACCTATACATAGTGATCCAGGACAGCTGGGGCTACAGGGAAACCCTGCTTCAAAAAGGCAAAAAAATAAAATAAAAATTAAAAATTAAATTTAAAGAAACTGGAGATTGGGTACGTGGGCCCACATCTTTGTAATTCCAGTGTAGGAAGACTGAAGCAGGAGGATGAAATCAAGGCCACCCTAGGCTACATCAGGAGACTCTGGGCCACCCCCCTCCCCCAATCAAACACACACAAAACAAAAAGCACCAACAACAGAAATCCTTGAAGCTACATGTGTTTGTGGGGAACAGGGCCTCATTTTATTAACCCTACTTACTTTCCCTCCATGGGAACAAGCCTGAGGGCCCTGGGGATGCTCTTCCAAATGGGTGGTATCTGCCCAGCCACTGGATCTGTGGAGTGGGATGCTTTCTCTTTAACCTAAAGGGATGGTTTTCATAGAACTGAATCCCAGCTGTGGACAAGATCTCATTTCAGTTGTTTCTAAACTAAAAAGTATGGATAACACCACTTACGGTTAACACCTGCTACCTTGAGTGAATATCATCTTTTCCCTAAACCACTCTCAGAGCCCCACCTCCCCCTTTTTGACTCATGATCCTCTTACCTTTACCTCTTGAGTGCTTGGGATCACAGGCACACACCATCTCTCTCTATTTTGTGTGTGTGAGATTGGGGATGGGGGGCATTTCATACAGTCCAGGTTGGCTTTAAAATTTTCTAAGTATCAGAAGCTGGCCTTGTGGCATTGAACCCCTGATCCTCCTCCTGCTTCCACTTCACAAGTGATGGGACTACAGGCATGCAGCATCACAACCAGCCTATTTTTTTTTTTTTTTTTTTTTTTTTTTTTTTAAAAAAGAGACAGGGTCTCCCTGTAGCCCCAGCTGTCCTGGAACTATGTAGCCTAGGTTGGCCTCTAACTCACAAAGATCGGTTTGCCTCTGCCTCCCAAGAGCTGGGACTGAAGGCATGTAACACCATGCCTGGCTGTTTTTATTTTTTTTAGGACCCCCAAATACACAGTGTTTTTCCTACATGCACCATGCCAACTCTGCTTAACTCTATAGCATTCTGCCTGCTGGGACCAATCGCCCTGCCTTGATGTTACTACTCGTGTGGAAACTCAAGCTGAGACTCTAAACTGTCACACCTTTTAAGGGCTGATTGTGCTGACAATGGCAGTCTCTTAAGGAGCATGATCTCAGTCTACCACTTACCATGTAATCAAATAATCTTACCCATCTCCACCACCACTCTCATCAGAAAAGTGGCAAATAACTGGCTTACCCATTTCTATAGGCTTGTTGGGAAGACTAAAGAGATTAAAATGTTACTCACTTAAAACTGGACTTAATATTTGGAAGCCTCTTATGGCATCTCTCCC